CAGGCCCTCATGCCGGCGAAGGGCGCGCGGCCGATCAGCCGGCCCGGACCGGCGCCGGCCCTCCCCTGCCCGGGCCCCAGATGACTGCCTGGGGCGACCCCGGGCGGGCGAGCGCGGCGGATTGTGGGATCGCGCGGGAACTTGCCACCGGCTGGCCCGCCCATTGAGCGCCAAAAGGGGGCCGAGGGGGGATTACAAAGCAACCAAGAGCCTAGTCACAGCATGGGGCCCAGAGCAGGCAGGGGCGGCTCGGGAAGGGGAGGGGTACCGCCGTCCCTCCCGTTTGCACATGTCCCAGCTACGCATATTATCCGGGGGAGCCCCGCTGAGGCGGTCAGCGCGCGGAAGGGGTAAATCTTCCGACCCCATCCTCCGGGGAGCGGGGGGCGGGGGGCGGGGGCGGGCCGCCCGACTTTTGTCTCGGGGGAGGAGGGGCGCAAGGCACAACGCACGGGCGTCTGTCTGGCCTGCGTGAGAGAGGGAGAGAGAGAGAGAGAGAGAGAGCACCGGGCTGTGTGGGTACCGCACATAATATACACATGCGGGTGGTGGTCGAGGGTGTCTGGGATAATAGGCGCCATTTTTATTATCCCGCCATATTTTCCCCAGATGATTTCTCCCTCCCCAGAGACCAGACTCCAGGGGCCGGGGGGTAGAAGGTGGCCCGAACATTCCCTCTTCGATGATTCGGGCGCGGGCGCGGTCGTAAACGCCGGCATGAAAAAAGAAAAAAGAAAAACACCACGCCGGTTGGCGGGTTGTTATCCCCCGCCAGCCGGCCTCCCTCTCCCACCCGAAGAACCCCCCTTCCCCCCCCCGTGGGCTTGGAGGCCGGAAATTACGCAGGAGGCCACTCCCGGCGGCCATCCAGCGGCTTCGGCCCGCTCCTTGGGGGGGGGGGGGGGGGAGCGGCGTTCAAGCATGCCCCGCCAGAGGAATTACTCATCTTGTTAGTCAGGTCTTTCGGTGGGAGGTCTGGCGCCCCGGGGAGACGCCCAAGCCTCCGCCCCCCCCCCCCCCCCAGGAGGAGAGTCTGGGGTCAACGGTATGCGGCGAGTTGCCCAGCAGGGGCGTGGTTGCTGGGTATGCTCGGAAAATAGCTCACTTCGTATTCCCCCCACTCCTCCCCGCATCCCCCCTCACCCCGCGGGAGGCTGGGGGCGGCAAGGGCTTCGGGGCTTGCGGGCGCGCCGGTGCTGGCACGCGCCCTGCTCGCGCGTGTCATGCCCTCCAGCAGCTGGCCTGCGCCCGCCCTCTCGCCCGCTCGCCCGCCCCCTTCCCTCGGCTGCTCCCGGGGTCGGGAACGGGCCAGGTATGCCGCAAGGGGCATGTGCTGGTGCGCCACGCCCCCTTGCCGGCCGCTTGCTTGGGATGGGCGGCCGTGTGTGCGCTCCTGCCGGGCCGGTGTGTGCGATAATGCTCGCATCGCAACACACACACACGCACGCACGCACACACACGCACACACACACGCACGCACACACACACACACACACACGCACACATGCGTACGCAAGTAAGGGGTGCACCTGCCCAGGGAAAAATCACGAAAATGATAATTGATTCGCAAGGCGAATTTCATTTTTGATAAGGCATGTTTTTCTTTTTCTCACACCGAACACCTGCATCTCTCTAAATCCCGCTTCGCCTCCTTGCCCAAATCGTCTGCCTCCCCTCTTGCCTCTCCGCCTCCCCCCCCCTCCCTTCCCCACCCCCCGACTTGCAGGCGCCCCGCGTGCCTTACTTTTCCCTCCCTTCCGCGACCCCTCTCCCGCCCCCGGCCTCGGCGAGAGTACGAACCGGTACACCTGCCCCTCATTTCCACCCCCATCCGCAGCGTGTTGGTCGGTCGGTCGACTGATCGATCGGTCGGTCGGTCGGCCAGTCCCGCCTCTGCGCGCATTTGGTGTTGGCTAACCTCCCCTCCTCCCCCTCCCCCTCCCCCTCCCCCTCTGCCCGGCCCCGGAACTGACCCACCCCCAGGCCACTCACCAGGAGCCTCTCCCATGTCCGGTGTTGGTAGCACGCCCCCTCCGGCGGCCGTCAACCCTGAGACCTTGCCGATCCGAACGCTGACCCCGACGCCCGATGGCCGGAAGCGGCGAATCACCTTCTCCGCGCAGAATGACATCGTCCTCCTGTCCGAGGTGGTCCGCCAGAACCCCTTCGCTGCCAAGTACGGCAACGTCCATGAAGCCTGGGCGCGCGTGGCGCAGGGCGTCACCCGGTCGGCCGCCGAGTCCGCCAACCTCCGGGTATCCCCCGGCCACTCGCCGGGTCCGTACCTGGTGCTGGACTCGCGCGGTGCGCGTGACCGCTTCGACCTGCTGGCGCGGAAGTTCCGCGAGCGTGACCTGCGCGGGCTCCGCAGTGGTGGCACCTACTCGGAGCTGGTGCGCAAGATCGAGCTCTTCCGCGAGGTGGGCTTCTGCATCCGGAATGCCGAGCGCGGCGACACCCACTCCTCCACCGTGGCCAAGAAGCTGGCAGTGGCTTCGCTGGATGAGATCGCCGAAGAGCTGCTCACCCGGCTGAATCAGCCGAATGACAATGACTTTGAGTTCAATGACGATCCGCCGCGCTTTTCGTCCGCTGGCCAGGCCGCCGGCCAGGTTGGCCAGGCCGCTGGCCAGACTGCTCAGGCCGCTGGCCAGGCCGTCCAGGCCACGCCGGCCACTGGCCAGGCCGCCGCCGATGCGGCCGGAGCCCAGGCCACCCTGGCCAATGCCACCAGCGCCTCGATGGCCGGCATGCTGGGCACCCCTCAGGGCGCCTTCCCCGGGCTGGCACTTGGCCCGGCGTCCATGGCGGCGGCGGCTGCCGCGGCCGCGGCAGTCGGGACCCCCCCCAGTGCGGCTGGCGTTTCGCCATACGGCGCCGGGCAGACGGGCCCTGGCGCCATGGCGGCGGCGGCGGCGGCGGCAGCGGCGGCAGCCGCCGCCACGTCCGGAACTCCCGGCCGACTGCCGGCACACCTGGCCTCCCTGACGCAGCTGGGTCTGCTCGGAGCCGGGGCCGGCGGCTCGCCGGGCGGGGCCGGCTTCCATGCAGCCCTGTCGGCCACCGGGTCGCAGCCGGGCGGCGGCGAGGGCTCGGCCGGGGCCACTGGCCTGCCCTCGGGCCTGCCTCTCTTCGATGCCGGGCACAAGTCCCCGGCCGATGTGTCTTCGGCTCTGGCCGCGGCGGCCGCCGCTTCTGGCGGTCTTGACCAGTCGCTGGTTGGGCATGCGGCCCTGGCTGCCAGCCGGACGGCGGGCGCCACCACCGCGCCCCACACCCCGGGGCAGGTTCTGTCCACGAATGAATTGCTCGAGCGCGCCACCAAGCGCCATAAGCTGGATCAGCTGGCGGCTGGGGGTGTGGTCGATCCGGCGGCGGCCGCGGCGGCCGCCACGGCGGCTCTCCTCTCCGGCAGCAGCAATGCCACCGGGGCCGGCAGCACGCCTGCGGCCAGTCGCTATGCCGCCATGGCCCTGCCCTTCCAGCACCTGGGCTTGGACTCGTCAGTTCTGTCGTCCCTCGGCGGGGCGGCGACCGCCTCGCTGGGTGGCACGACCCCCGGGGCCATGTCCACGGCCGGCAGTCTTTCGGCCACCGAGTCGCTGCTGACCGATCGGGTGAAGCTCTCCATTCAGGCCGATCGGCTGGAGATCGATCGGGCTCGGCTACAGGCCGAGGCTGCCGCCCGGCAGGCCGACATGGACCAGCGCCAGAAGGACCGGGATGCACTTGTGCGCCTTGGGAGTGAGCTTCTGACCGCCATGCGGCAGCAGCAGCAGCAGCAGGCCCGGTTCCAGGGATTGGTCCTCGAGCTGTTGGCCGAGATCGCCGTCGGCGTTGGCCGGCCGACTGCCACGGCCGTTTCGCAGATCCCCCCGGGCGGCCCCTCGCCAGATGTGGCGACCACCACCGCGCCGGGCTCCTCGCCGGTGCTCACCCCTTCGGCCGGGACTTCGCCCGTGCTCCCGGCGCTGACTGTAACCGGTGACGCGGTGTCCTCTTCGCCGGTGATCGTCAGATCGCCGGGTAGCCCCCCTGGGGCGCCTCCCTCTTGAGGTGGGAAAGTGGGCGAAGGGGAAAGGGGAGGGGGGGGGGGAGGGACTGAGGGAGGATTGTCCTCGTACATCAGATGTACATTCTTCTCCCTTGAGCTTTCTCGTCCTTGTTCCTCTCCCGCCGTCCGCGGAAATGCTCGGGAGCTTGCCCTCCTCCTCGTCCCTCGTCCCTCCCTCCCCCCCCCTTCTCCCGACGGTTTTTGCGGGAGGGGGGGGGGGGGGGGGTCACCGGAGCCTGCCCCCGTCCTTCTTCCTTGCCCGCTTCGCTTGGCCCCCTTCTTTCCTTCCCTCTCCCTCTCTCTGTCTCCCTCTCTTGCCCCTTAGCCTCTTCCCGAATATTACAGGGACCAGGTGCTCATGTGCTGTATACCACCTCTTCTAAAATAATACCCCCCCTCAAAGTGCAACAAGAAGTGGAACAGGATGCTTGCTGGGCCTTTTTATTTGGTTGTGCTGGGCCCCGTCCAAAGACACGTGCGACTTTCGCCCTGCCGCAGTCGGGATCAGACGCTCTGCTCTTTGGCCTGGACAAATGGAGAGGGGTGCACATTTGTGTGACGTGCTCCTATACGCGGGGGATCTGTCCGCACGGAGGGAAAAAAAAAAGACGAAAAAGACGGGGCAGGGCAATCTGGGCAAATCCCACGGCGAGGGTGACTTTTGTTGTATTTGCACAAGGCAGATGTACACATACACAACCACACACACACACACACACACACACACATGCATGCATGCATGCATGCATGCTGGCAGACGTGACAGGGCCAGGCGTGGACAAGCCCCTCACACACGTGCGCAATCCGCGTGAAATGCATGAAATGTGGACGGCAGCCCAGCAGCAGTGGCCAGGTGTCTGCCGCATGTGTCTCTAGACAAGGGCACATGGCCGGCCAGAGCACACATGCCCCCTTGGCCACATCCACTCGACCAGGCACACTTAGTAGTAGAGCTCGTTGGTGGCGATGGTGAACTCGCCGAAGTCCTGGCCGGCCTTCCACTGGGGGACGTCGATCTTCTTGGCCAGCTCCTCGGGCGAGCCGGTCTGGGGGAAGTAGAGCTTCTCGCTGAAGTTGGGCTGCATGAAGACGGCCAGAGTGTTGCGGGCAATGCCGGCGGTCTCCAGACCAACCGGACCAATGACACAGTGCGGGGTGGCAGACAGGTGGCCACCGGAGGCGATCTGCAGGGACTGGCCGAGCTGGAAGGCCAGACAGTCACGGGGAATGGGAGCCTATGCATGGAGAAGCCGGGAGAGGGGAGGGGGAGAGCGCCGAAGTCAGCATCGGGCAGAGAGCACCATCGGGGCGCGGGTCCGGCACAGCACGTGAGGGGACATGGGGGCTGTACCTTGAGGACGTCGCCGTTGCGGTTGCGGATGTACAGACCGGCAGTGGCGTCGGGCATGCTGGTCTCCTCATCGCCACGGTAGTAGCGAGCAGGGGTAAGACCTATTGGCGGAGGGCAGGGCCGACGAAGCAGAGCGGAGGGATGTCAGTCGAGTGTGTCTTCGATTTGGAGCGAGGGGATGTGACACGCGTGCGTGCGTGCAGGTGCGCAGCCAGGCACACATACCGGTCAGGGTGCCATGGTCGAGGTGCCAGCCTGGCGGGGAGGGGGCAAGGCGTGCGGGAGGGCGTCATGTGAGTGTGCGAGAGAGAAGCCGGGAGACAGCAACAAAGGGGCATCCTGCCTACGCCGCAGGCAGCTGGCCTACTTACCGCACCAGGAGCCGGTGTCATCGGCACGAGAGGCAGGGGGGTTGTCAACCGGGAAGTAGTGCAGCAGCCGGCCCTTGGTGGCCTTGGAGTTCTTGATGACATTCTCGATGTAGTTGGCCGGGAAGTCGGCGATCTGAGAAGAAACTGCGGCAGGTGCAGATGGATGGAGATACAGACAGATGATGTGAGAAGCTGGTCGGGAGGAAGCGAGCAGGGGAGAAGAAAGAGCACCGGCAAATGAGTGCCCCCCCCCCCCCCCCGGTCAGGATGCCCTGCCTGGCCTTTGGGGTCGGAGCACGCACTGAACTTGTCGCAGTGGACAGCAAGGCGGGCGCCGGTGTCGACGATCAGCTGGCCGAGGGCCTTGAAGGCGCCCTCCAGCTGGGGGATCTCCTCGGTGGGCCAGACGTTGGGCTGGGCAAACTCGCGGTACTTGGCCAGCTCGGCCGGGTCGTCGGTCGGGGTGTCGCTCGAGGGGTTGGCATACCAAGAGCCCTTGGCGGTGTCGAAGACCCCCTGGAAGCGCTCCTTACCGTGCGACCAGCCAACCATATAGCTCAGATCGGGGAACTCGTACTTGGCCTTCTCCTCGGCGGAGAGGCCGCCCAGGCGCGAGGCCAGGGGCAGCAGATCGCCGACCTTGTTCTCGAGCTCGGGAATGCCGCGGACCAGGATCAGGCCCAGGGCGCTGGGGTTGGAGCCGAAGGCGGCCTGTGTGTGTGTGTGTGTGTGTGTGTGTGTGCGTGTGTCGCGAAGTGGTAGGCGGCAGGAGGGAGAGGCGGCAGGAGGGAGAGGCGGGTGATGTGTGAGCGGGGACACATATGTGCGTGAGGGCATGCGCGCGCTGGCAAAGACGTGCTCCCCGCACAGGGGTACACGTGGGCGCACCTCGATCTGGGCCGAGAGGTCGGCCTTGGGGTTGATGACATCGGCGTACTCAACGACGATGACGTTGTCGGCGGTGCGGAACTCAGTCATGGTTGTGCGGCGGAGGGGGGGGGGGGGCTGTGTGAGGGAAGGAGGGCAGGAGAGAAACGGAGGAGGGAGGGGAACTGCTCGTCGGCTCTGTCAAGCAGGAGGATCCCCGGGAGCGGGAAATCCCCGGCTGAAATATCGCCCGCCGGTGGCGTGAAGTCGCCGATCCATGTAGGGCCCCCCCCCCCCCCCTCCGGGGGGGGGACAGGGGGCGCGATAGACGGGCCGAGAAGGGGAGAGAGGGGCGGGAGATGCGCGGGCAGGCGAAAACAACAACACACTGCGTCGGCAGGGCCCCGGGCTTCTTCGGGAGGGAAAAGCGCGCGCAGCTTGTGTCCGGCCCATCTTCCCGGTCTCGTGCGAGGACGACGCCGGTGCGCAGGACTGGGGATGTTTATCTCGGGGGCCCGGCCGTGCGCCGTTGCGTGGTGGGCCCCCGATCTGGCCCTCCTCCCCAGCGGCAGGAGCCCACCATGCCCCAACCCTCCGGCGGGTGGGCCTGTAGCCGCGCGACCGGACACGCCCGCCGGCCAAGTATAGAGCCCCCTTGTACGCCGCCTCACCGAGGCCTGCGAGAGGGGAGACCCGGGGGAGCCGGTGCACGTATGCGTGCCACCCGTGGCTCGTGCAGCCGCGTCATCGGCACGTGAAAGGTCCCCGACCCAACAGCCCCCGGCAGCCCTCCTCGTAGCCCTCGCAGTCCACCCAGCGCTGCCTGGCGGTGCATGGGCCCCCTGCCTTCGGTGACGGCGGCGGCGGCGGCGGCGGCGGCGGCGCACTTACTCATCCTCGCCCGGCTTACGCGGTGCGCACGGCCGGAGGGAATGATAACACGCACGCCAAAAGAGGCACCACAGGCCGGGAGCAGGCGAAAATCCGGGGCCCAGGCGCTGGCCGCTTTTCCGGTCGACTCAAACTCGGCCGTGATGACTCACATGCTTGGGGAACTTTATTCCAATTTGTCCGAAAAGGGCGTGACGCAGATCACACGACCAGTGTCACACACCTCCGATCTTCCTGATGAAAATGGCCTCCGAAAGGGCGGATTGTGTTGGCCAGGGCATTTCCACGGCACCTCCCCCTGAACTGGCAGACACTGGTGCAGCGGGGGGGGGGGGGGGGAGGGCAGCAGCCCCTGGTGTGTGCATGCCCGCGCGCGTGAGTGGCCCAGCGAACAGGGCCGTGCAGCGTCTGGCCTTTGCCGGCTGGTGCTTGTTCTCGTTCAGGCCCGTTGTTCAATGCAGTGTTGCCGCTCCGGCCGCCGCCATGGGGTCGCACGCACCAGCCAGGTGGCGAGGAAGACAGCAGACGTCGGTCCTGCCTCGCTTCCAGGGCACGAGCTTGCGGTGGCAGGCTTGCAACGTTCAGGGCCCTGCGGCTCCCGGGTCGAATGGGTGGAGAGGGCCATGTACGATGCCTGCTTGCCCCCCCCCCCCCCCGCATCCCCCTGACCCTCCCCTCCCGCCTAAAGTGCCTCCTGGATCTCCTCCCTCCCCCATCTCACCTACCTCTCATCTTCCCCACCATGGGCTCCATCTCCGAGCTTCTTTCCAAGCACACCGTGCGCATCCCTCCCGCCCCCCCCTCCAGTGCCTTGCTCTCTTTCCCCGGCCTCCCCCCTTCCCCTGA